TGACGGTGATGGTGATGTTGTACTCGGCCTGGCTCTCTCTATCCAGCGCTCCTTCAGTTACCAAGGTGTAGAAATTCTCGACTGATGGTCTTAGAAGAAAGGGGAGATTTTCATCTATAGAACAAATAACCTGTTGATTTTGTCCAGAATCTGCATCTGACACACTGAAAACTGCTACTATGACCTCTGGCAGGTTTTCAGGGAAGGGACTGATGAGTGAGGACATGGTCAGTTGAGGAGTGTTGTCATTTACGTCCAGAACCTTGATGATTAAAGAGCATTTTCCTGATAGTCCCCCGCCATCTGTAGCCTCAATATCCACGTGATATGATTGAAATTCCTCAAAATCCAAAGTCTTTCTCAGTCGAATTTCTCCTGTAATTACGTTTATTTCGAAGGGTTGGTTAATGTCATCTCCCTGAAATAGGGCATAAGATACCTCCCCAAAGGATCCTGCATCTAAATCTGTCGCTGAGACGGTGATAATCAGGGAGCCCAGGGAATTGTTTTCAGGAATTTGTGCCTCATAGAGTTCCTGAGCAAATTCGGGAGCATTGTCATTGATGTCCAAGACCAGGATCCGAATCTCCGTGGTCCCAGACCTGGGCGGAGACCCACCATCCACCGCTGTGAGGGTAAGCCTTAGCTCCCGCTGCTCCTCGCGGTCCAAGGCTTTGTCCAGCACCAGCTCCGGGAACTTCCTGCCATCGCTGCGATTGCGAGTGAGAACGTGAAAATGAGGATTGGAGCTGATTATGTAGCTCTGAAGACTGTTGTTACCAGCATCTAAATCCTGTGCCATTTTCAAAGGAAATAGCTTTCCTGGTGTAGTAATTTCTGATATTTTTAGTAGCATTTCTCTGGCTGGGAACTCTGGGGCGTGGTCATTTATATCTCTGACTCGTAAAGCAGCCTGAAAAAACTGCAAGGGATTTTCCAGTAACACTTGAAAAGGTAGCACGCATGGCTCAGTGGAGCCGCACAGCTCTTCCCGGTCCAGTTTCTCATTTAGCAGTAAATCATAGGTCTTTGGGTCAAGTTGCAAATGCTGTCTGTTCCCCTTGAAAACAACCTGGGCACCCCGCGCAGCCAGTTCTCCTCTCCTGAGTCCCAGGTCCTTTGTCAAATTGGCCACAAACGTGCCAGTTTCTGACTCCTCCAGTACAGAATATTGAATCGATTCTGAACCGGCTTCCCACAAAAGCACCCATATAATGAGAATTGCCACTTGCCTTTTCTTGCGATGTACTTTTGTTCTCGCCATCTCCATTATGTCTGATCCCAGAGGAAAAAATCTTTTTCCAGTCCCCATCATCACGTCCACTACCGACCCTCCGAAATGTCTTTACTGTTGAATTTCGAATTCGTCTTGTAACTTGTCTGGTGACGAGTGCCTTCCTGAATACTACTATCTTAGCTTCGGTTGTAAATGTGTTCGTATTTTGAGGGGCTTCTGAATAAAATGGAGTCCACCGAATCTGCAGAGCTCTTATTCACTCTCTTAGCCTGCACTGCCACCAGGCGTTCAAATTATTAACTTCAGGAGGTGCATACAGGCAATACCATTTCCAAAATCTGAGCCTTATAAAGACTTTCAGGTGGAGTCAGTGTTTTTCAAATTGTAGTGTGTGAACCATATGCATAAATAATTACTTAGGAGTCTGAGTTGTTTTTTTCGAGGTTGACTCCTGGGTTTCCCTCCAGACCTTGAATGAAATTCTCTGGTGGTGCTAAGGGCTGAAAATCTGCACTTCAATCTCTCTAAGTGATTCTCATGCATACTAATGTTTAAGAATCACACCCTCAGGTAATGTAAACTTCCTATAATCAATTTTTATTCTTTGGCAGTGAAATTTATCTCTGATGAGTAGTGTGATTTGTGAATCCAAAAAGTACACTATTTAATCGTCCCAACAAACAAGTCAATAAACTATACAAAATTGGGAGCCTGGGTGGCTCAGTTGGTTAAGCGACTGCCTTCGGCTCAGGTCATGATCCTGGAGTCCCAGGATCGAGCCCCACATCGGTCTCCCTGCTCAGCGGGGAGTCTGCTTCTCCCTCTGACCCTCCCCCCTCTTGTGTTCTCTCTCTCATTCTCTCTCTCTCTCAAATAAATAAATAAAATCTTTAAAAAAAAAATAAACTATACAAAATGTAAAAGTTGGTTAGCAACACCAATTATAAAATAAACAATTATTTCTCTAAGTTATATGGCTCATAAAATGGCATGAACAACAGACTCAACTTATTTTGTGGTTACACCTGCACAGTAAGGGGAACAATTAGGCTATTAGGAGGAAAATTGAGGCCAACACATACTTATGATAGAGTATCTGATTAATTAAATTATTTAAAAGAGTAACTAGCGGGGCACCTTGGTGGTGCAGTCAGCTAAGCCTCAGATTCTTGGTTTCAGCTCATGTCATGATTTCAGAGTTGTGAAATAGAGCCCCTAGATGGCTCTGAGCTCCTGAGCTCCCTGCGAGTCTGCTTAAGATTCTTTCCCTCTCCCACTGCCCCTCCCTGCTGCACTCTCTTTCTCAAATAAATAAATAAATCTTTAAATGAGGAACTAGCAACAATCAGTCTGTCATAAGTAGGCATTTTAGGATTTTACTTCATTTTGTATGGGTGGAATTGGTCATGATTTTATTAGGTTCGTTCATTTTATTATAACTTTTAAATCAAATTTCCCTCCTATATTAATTAATTAATCAAGGCCCAAATATATTACCATGTTGTAAAGACATAATGCAATGCAGAATACAAACATTCAAGAATCACCTCTATCATCCTCTACAACAAGGATGACGCTAGTTGCTATTATAAATAAACACCAAGTAAGGTAGTGAATTACATTTGAGTGGATTCCACAGAATTCAATGATGGTTCATCATGGCTATATCCATTTCTATCTCACCAGTTTCTACTCAGATAAATAGGAAAATATGTCTTTAAATATCCTCAAAATATATGAAATGGGTCAGTGCACATATAAGAACACAAAATGTGCCAAACATAATCTCATTTCAGATTGATTTCATATTTCTTGAGAGGTGAAATCAATTGAGCTCAACCAAAGTTCACTTCAGGTAAGAGCCAAAATGATGGAAGATTAAAAATGAGGATATTTTTCTTTTTAAAAAAATATTTTATTTGTTTATTTGACAGAGAGAGACACAGAGAGAGCAGGAACACAAGCAGGGGGAGTGGGAGAGGGAGAAGCAGGCTTCTCGCGGAGCAGGGAGCCCGATGTGGGGCTCGATCCCAGGACCCTGGGATCATGACATGAGCCTAAGGCAAACGCTTAACGACTGAGCCACCCAGGCGCCCTGAGGATATTTTTCAAGATGTTTCAACTCTAGGTAAAATAAATAAAGCTAAATAAAGTCTAAACTCTGAACAGATGAAATAATTTTGTAGTTAAAAAGCATCTCTACCTACCCAGAAGGATAAAAAATAAAATCACTGTGACCAGCCTCCATGGTTCACTTGATAAATGTTACTGAGAATAGACTTCCTTGAGAGTATGAATAACAAGATAAACTGATGAAGTAAAACCAGCAATCACAAACATATTAGATGGTTTTAATTTCTTCTTTGAAACAAAGTTATTTCCAACTCAATCCTAAGTGCTTCCTTTCTTCGATGGGCATTCTAATTCCAGCCTGATGGCATCCCTGGCATCTCCGCGGTCCTTTGTGCTCTCTCTTTGTCTGCAGGGCCACCAGACATCTTCACATATAGCTTACTGAATTCTTTTTCACTTTAAAGCAAATTTTACTAGCAGTACAGTATCTGTGATACTCAATTGAGACATTGAAATGTCTTTGAGAATGTTGTTTGTTGTGACAGAGAGGAAGAAGATAGTATCTTAATGTATCATCCAAGGCTATCAGTTGGTATGTGAAGACACTGCCTTTTTATGGAAATTGATTACTTTAGATTCTTTCAGGAGAGTGCTTCTCTGTTTTATTCTCTTTCGCTTTCCTTTGCTAGAGTAGAACTGAACTGAATTTATAAACTTGTCTCACAAGTAATAACTCACTAACATTTGTGGAAAAAGTTCAACGCATACAAAGCAAACAGCATAACTTCCATTTACACGTCATCCAGCTTCACAAGATCTTGTATCATTTCATCTATACCTTCCCCTCCACCCTCCACTTCCCACTCAATGTTTTTGTATAGGTCTTTTCTTAAGGTAATGTTTACACAAATTGAAATGCACCAATCTTAACTATATAAAGGATCCATCCATGTAACCCACACCTCTTTCCAGATACAGAATATTTCCATCATTCCTTGGGAATCTTCTTAATCATATTTTCCAGCTTAATTTTAATAATTAGGTGGCAAAAACTTGGTCTCCTCTGCACACAACATGGAAAGGTAAACCAATGTAAAAAACCACCAAGCCCTATGTCATTATGCTCATGTACGCTTATGTGAAGTGACAGATCGTTAAGATTAATTTAACTGATTATTACCAGTGAGCTGAAATAATACTTTGATGAAATATTGTAAAGTATATTAAACTTAATTTTATTTAGTAAGCTTATAATTATTGCATAGCTGATCAATCTGGTTTCCATTTTTATGCTACAAATGTTTGTTTTCCTTTCATTCCATTATAAATTTTAAAAATTCTTCAAGTTTCTAAATGTGAGAATCCATCAAAATCCTAGAGAAGAACACAGGAGAACCTCTTTGGCCTTGGCTGCAACTTCTTGCTAGACATGTCTCCAAAGGTAAGGGAAACAAAAGCAAAAAATGAACTATTGGGACTTCAAGATAAAAAGCTTTTGCACAGCAAAGGAAACAGTCAACAAAACCAAAAGACAACCAACAGAATGGGAGAGGATATTTGCAAAATCTTTTCAGATAAAGGGTTAGTATCCAAGATCGATAAGGAATTTATCAAACTCAACACACCAAAAATAAATAATCCAGTCAATAAATGGGTAGAAGAGGGGCGCCTGGGTAGGGTAGGTAGGGAAGGTTAAGCATCTGCCTTCGGCTCAGGTCATGATCCCAGGGTCCTGGGATTGAGCCCCGCATCGGGCTCCTTGCTCAGCGGGAAACCTGCTTCTCCCTCTCCTTCTACTGCCCCCCGGTGCTTGTGCTCTCTCACTCTCTCTGTCAAATAAGTAAATAAAATCTAAAAAAAAAAAAAAAAAAGAAATGGGCAGAAGACATGAACAGACATTTCTTCAAAGAAGACATACAAATGTCCACCAGACACATGAAAAAATGCTCAACATCCCTCAGCATCAGGGAAATACAGATCAAAACCTCAATGAGATACATCACACCAGTCAGAATGGCTAAAATTAACAAGTCAGGAAACGACAGATGTTGGCAAGGATGTGAAGAAAGGGGAACACTCTTACACTGTTGGTGGGAATGCAAGCTGGTACAGCCACTCTGGAAAACGATATGGAGGTTCCTCAAAAAGTTGAAAACAGAGCTACCCTACAACCCAGCAATTGCACTACTAGATATTTATCCAAAGGATATAAACATAGTGATCCGAAGGGGCACCTGCGCCCCAATGTTTATAGCAGCAATGTCCACAATAGCCAAACTATGGAAAGAGCCCAGATGTCCAACAGATAGATGAATGGATAAAGAAGATGTAGAATATATATATAATGGAATATTACTCAGCCATCAAAAAATGAAATCTTACCATTTGCAATGGCATGAATGGAACTAGAGGGTATTATGCTAAGTGAAATAAGTCAAATCAGAGAAAGTAAATTTTCATATGATTTCAATCATATGTGGAACTTAAGAAATAAAACAGAGGATCATAAGGGAAGGGAGAGGGGAAATAATATAAGGCAAAATCAGAGAGGGAGACAAACCATACAAGACTTAACTATAGAAAACAAAGTGAGGGTTGCAGTTAGGGAGGAGGGTGGGGGGAATGGTGTAACTGGGTGATGGGCATTAAGGAGGGCACATGATGTAATGAGCACTGGGTGTTATATGCAATTGATGAGTCACTGAACCCAACCTCTGAAACTAATAATACACTATATGTTAATTAATTGAATTCAAATAAAATTTAAAAAAATAAAAATTCTTCAAGTTTACGAAAAATGAAAGACAAATATAATCTTTAAGGTTAGTCTTCCAAATCTTCTTTAATTTTGTTATGAATCTCTTAAAAAATCTTATTTAATTTAGCTATATCCAAGGAAAAACAATACTTCAGGGCAAAGATGGAAATATGTAAGCAATCACTTAACCCTCTGAATTGATGG